TCCTTTCCTTTTGAAGACCCCCAGGATTCGATGGCTTCCTACTGGTACTCTCAGGAAATGGAACCCTAGGCCGGCGTGTGGCACCGCTTTCAGTTCAGTACACCCTATCCTAAGTGTGTGATTAGGGTTTGGGGTCCGCAGACCGTCTGCGGCTGTTTTGAGGTGATAGAAAGGTTTGAAGGCAAAAACACATATTATATAAGCATATGTATGTGCATATGTATATACATATATACCTGCAACTTCCTCCCCTGCACTTTTTAGGCCCTGAGCAAAAACGTTGACATTCAAGACCCTCAAGTCAGAATCAGACCCTTAACAAAACCTCTGCCCCTGGCAGTTTCTGGAAATGACACATCAGCCAAATGTTCCAGCAAACCTTGCCTGCAAGGATGTTTGTAAAATGTATCGCTTAAGTGACAAGGCGTTGGTTCAGCGGCATTCCAACCTAAAGTATTCCAGTTGTTTGGTTTCCATCATGATGATATGGCTGCCCACCAACGGTAGATCGACAAGAATCAAGATAATGCGACAGTTATCCTTGCAAACCTTTGTGTGCCACTTAATTAACCAATGGAGGTGCTTCAACTTCAGTCAGTCCAGACAAGTCCATCCATCCCATGCTTTGTTTTCACTATACCTGCTCGAAAGCACGGTTGCGCTTCAAATGATTTAGCTCCAACTTCCCCTTCACTTTGTCGTGCAACTCGACCAACAAAGTCTTCACTCATGGAGCTGTCCCACGCTGCTGGCTTGCGGCAGAACCTGTCCTTTGAGCAGATTTGTAGGTGATGGTAAATGTGCGCAGTACCATGAACCATGTGAGTCCACGGTCCAAACTGTGTTTGGCCAGCCTAGCGTAGGCATGTAAGAAACCACGACAGTTTGCTCCAATGTCCTCCCACAGCTTCTTTGAAGCCAGATTCCATGTCTGTGAATGGATTGAAAATCCAAACCTGCTTTGCAAGCATTGTTCACCAGGATCAACGACTGTGTCCCAGCAGAGTGAACCAGCTGTAAGCTTGTGAACCATTCTAACCATCGTAGCAAATAGATCGAGTCAGAGCCCTTACAGCCAACCCACGGGAATGATGAAGCAGTTGGAAAATGCAGCTTCTCTTTTTGTGAACCGGGGCTCACCCGAGCAGAAACGCACCAGAGGTGGAACGATGCCCATGCGCGTCCAAGTCTTGCATCGACCGCTCTCGACTCCCCCACATCATTGTAATCGAACATGCAGTCAAAACAAAGTAAAAGTACAGCTGAGGCTGAGGCTATAAAGTTTCTTGCTATTCCCAAACGGAATAGATGAAACGTACCCAAGAGGAACCATCTGGCAGCCAAGCCTGTAGACCAATCTTCAAAAACAATATGGTGGAACGGCGGCATAGAGGACCAGGGAGCTGAGTGGCACAGCGTTCCTTTCCATGTAGCAGAGCTTGTAAAGTCTTCAAAAGGATGAAGCGGACCACCAGCAGCACACAAGTGACGGCACGGGATGCAGTTTCTATGTCCAACATCTTGATATGATCTGCTCAACAGTCCGGTCTTTGCATGATACTCAAGATCACCATCCCCAAGCCAAAGTGATAGACACAATCATAGTGCATAATACCATGTGCAGTGACTAGGAATCCAAATCCGAACAGGTAGTAAGATGGACCAACGAGCCACCAGTCCGAAAGAACCACACCTCCGTCAGATCATCAACACCTGGCCCAGTCCCAACCAGAAACAAATGCTTGATCCAATATGGCTTGTTTGAGATCCTTTAGCCGGCAGTTGGGACTTCCATTCCAGGACTGTTTCTGGTCGGGACGACGGGGAAACCCAGGTAGATGGCCACCTGGGGTGATACAAGGCATTCAATGGAACCACCCCTCCACAACGACCGGTTTTCCCGTCCTCCTCCGCTGTCCGCTGCCACTCTTCGATCTTCTTCTGCGCAACCTCCTTGGCCTCTGGCTCTTCTGGCCTGGAAGGGAAGGGTTGAGTGTGTTGGATTACACTCCCGAAAACTAACATAGACCCTGACAATGGTAACCTGGAAAGATGGTTTTCCTCTACCAACCAGTGGTTTTCAGGGTCCATGTTCGTTTTCGGGAGTGTATCCTGGGGAAAGGACGTGAAATTGGAGGGTTGTAAAGTGACTTGCAACCCGCTTGACCCGTGTGCAAAAGATCCTACTTTGGATCAACTGCACCCATCGGCGATTCATGCGTTCCCAGTGCGTTTTGAGGAACTGTACCAGCACTGGCTCAAGCAAACAAGAAATAGAAAGTACCATCCAGAACCGCCCAAACAACCATGCAGAACCGCTGTTCTGGCCTCACTTCCTGCCACCACTCTTCGACTTTGCTTTGTGCAACCTCACCTTGGCTGTCCAGGCTGGTCCTTTGCTAAGGGGGTTAACCAAACTAGTGTGGTTTAGTAAAGTAAGAGATCCCTTCAAAACCAAAAGGATTAAGGCTCAAAGAGTATGCAGTACGCCTAACTATATGTATATATATATATCAGTCAAGTCACGGGCGACCTCTTCTTTCTGAAGCCTTGCTGCTTCTTCCTTCTTCTCGGCCAGTTGGCAGTCAGCCGCGTCAGCGCGGCTTTGCGTCTCAAGTGCCCTTTGCTGCCACTCTTGCACCTTCTTCTGCGCAACTTTCTTAGCGGTCCCTTCCTCTTGTTGGCGCAGCTTCTCCTGCTCTTCTTGGCGCCACTCGGGTTCTGCATCAGCATCAGCATGTCCTTTTTTATTTTCCTCGGCTTCTTCACTGGCTAGCTCTGCTGGCTTCTGGCCCACCTGCTCTGAAGCAGCGTTTTGCCGCCACTCTGCAACTTTCTTCTGAGCAACCACCCTTGCCGTCTCTTCCTTTTGACCCTGCTCTTCAGGTGCATGACGCGCAAGCTCCTGTGTTCGCTTCTCCTCAACTGCCTTCTGCTGCCACTCTTGCACCGTCTTCCTTGCAACCTCCATGGCTGCCCCTTCCTCTTGCTGGAAAGGCCTTCCTCCTTGCTCCTCTTTCAGCCTCTCTTGTTCTGCACAGGCCAGCTCCTGTGCTCGCTTCTCCTCTTCCGCGATTGCCTTCTGCTGCAACTCGTCCAACTTCTTCCGCACAATCTCCCTCGCAACTTCTGGCTCTTCTTGTTGCAACCTCTGCCAGTCCGCGGCGTTTTGGAAGGTTCTGGACAGTTCTGGACTCCTCTACTCTTGGCTTAACATGTAACATGACTTAACTATGTTTCACCCACAGTGAACGGCACTCGTCTAACCGCATGCTTACTCCCCTGCAGATGGACATGGAACCTGAGAATCACCGGTGGCTTCGACAATTTTCGTCTACAACCCAGTGGGTTTGGGGTTCTGTGGTCCTCTCCAGGGCGAGTATATCAGTATATCCTCATATCTTTGCCCAAGACCGCACGAGCCGCACCGCTAAGATCGCCCTGGCCTCTGCTCTTCTTTCAGTCTATCTTGCTCACGAGCGGCGAGGTGTTCCTCCTCTTGACGCAGCCTCTCCTGCTCCTGCAGCTTTCTCTGGGCCTTCCGGGGCTGGCAATGCCCGGGACGGCTTGCAGGCCACATGCTTGTGTCAGGGCATTCATCATTTACCAGCGACTTTGATGTTTACTAGGCCCCAAGTTCCAAGGATTTAAGCCATGTCCTGCATCTGGCAATGGACTTTTTCCCGATTTTGCGGACCTCACACCAGTAACTGGCGCCCCTCCAGCTACTCAAAAGCGGTGCAAACAGCACGGAAAGGGACAAGACATCACGAAACATCACTGCCAAAAGCCATGCAGAAGATGCAGAACTGCAGAGCAGCTCGGCGCAGCGCCGCTGCGCGGCCTCGCGGGCGCGCTCGTCCTCCTCGCGCTCCAGCCTCGGAGGCGGCGGAGCCAGTGAAGTTGGAAAAGTTGAGGGGGGGGACCATGGGGGGACCCTCATTCTGCAGGTTGATAGGCATCTGTCACCAGGTGCCTGATCTTGGAAGTGGACAACCCTCCAAAAAGAGAACTGGAAGTGGAGCAAAAATCCTCTGTTTCGTGTTCGGAACGCTGGTCCCGGAAAGGAGGGGTCACCTCGACCCCCTGGAAGGTTTGGGAAATAGACCCGAACCTGCCCATTTGGTACAGAGAGACCCGTTTCACGCCGATCACCGTGCTCGCCTCGTCGCCTCGCTGGTCTCGTCGTTTCGGACACCACCCGGGTGGTGTCCAAGGTGACCCCAGTTGGTTCAGTAGAGTCAAAACCCTAGCCATGAGGGTCGAGCTGCGCCGGTTACTGGGCATGCTGTATATACTAGTGCGGTGCACCCCGGCAGAGGGCGCCCCTTGGGCGCGCGCCTTTCCTGCGCACCAGGGGGAGAGAAAGCCAGGGGAGCATCACCCCTGTGTTTCACCGAGTCAGGCCGGTCGGTGGTTTGGCGAGGCCAAGTCAGGACCAATGGACCTCTTCAGAGAAAAAAACCGCTTCCCACAATGAACACACCCAGGAAAAGCAGGAAAAGGAGCAGAAGGAAGAGAAGGCCGCCCCTCGGAATCACCTCTTTCCAAGGCGCTTCTCTTCCTCTCTGCGGAGGCGTTCCTCTTCCTCCATCCGCCGCCCCTCCGCGAGGTCCTGCTCGCGGCGGGCGCGTTTTTGGCGGCTCACCTCCTCCGCCACTTCTTGTGCCCGAGCCTCAAGGGCTGCCAAAAAAGAGATGAAGGAGAAAACAAAAAAATCAGGAGGAACATGTGGAACAAAAATGGCACACACAGCCTAAGCAAGACAAAGACTGAGTTCTGAGTGTGGAACAAAAATCGCACCCGACTCTACAGGGCTCAACAGGCCTCTTTCTCTGAGGGGACGATCCTCTTAAGACTCGAGACCAGTGGAGGAGATGTTCGTCTTTGGGGTCATGCCATCGAACCGCCACCCCCGAACCGGCCGGCACAGATGGTCAACTGAGCCATGACACACACGAACGCAACTGGGCCCCAGGAGCGGCGCCAACCCTGGTCTTTCAAGAAGCTCATATATCATCATATACCTAGATATTCCAATTGCACTTCAAGTACCAGCACGCTCCAACAGGTCTCCGAAATGGAGGCTTTTGTCGAGTTAAGTCGCAGTTGGTGACCTGTGAAGCTGGGTCCTGGTATACAGTATGACTCTATGACAATTAGTCTTCATGACGTGTCCCGGCCCTAAACCAAGAGTCTGGCTCACCCTTTGTTCACCAGGTGATCCACTCACTGGGTCGGTCTTCATGCCGGTTGGGAGGCCTTCCTCAAAATCCCTGACCACCATGCTCCGAAAAGAAACAACAACAACAACAACAACAACAACAGCAGCAGCAGCAGCACCAACACCAACACCAACACCAGCAGCAACAACAACAACAACAACACCAACAGCAACAACCAACAACAGCACCAGCAGCAGCAGCAGCAGCAGCAACAACAACAACAACTGCTCTCTCTCTCTCTCCCATCCTCTCTGGGCTACCCAGCAGCCCTCGCAAGCTCCATTTGGAGCTGCGCCTGTTGCCGCTCTTCCTCCTGAGGCCAGACATCCATGGTGGCTCTCGGAGGGTTGATGGATTGGAAAGCAGGCGCTTTGCACTGTGCATCCGGTCCATCTCCGGCCCATCCGGAAGGCCAAGGGTAGCCCGATAGGATTTTTTGGGCTGAAACTGTTTCTGGGTGAGTGCGACACGTTGGACCCGTTCAACCCCCCATCTCTCATGGTCGCCTCTGTGAGCCAGGCCCTCCTCCGACGCAGGGCATCCACCTCCTGCTTCCGGGCGTTCGAAGTGCTCAGATTATTGCAGGCATCAACCCCCGTGTAATGTTAGACCCCTGACTCTTGGTTTTGCGATCCATTAAGGGCCAATGGGTTTGTAATGGTTTGTCGGCATCCCGTGTGATGTTGGACCCTGTGACTTTATTTCAACCCCGCCCAGGTCTGAAGGAGAGGCTTTACAATGTGAGGAGGGAGGTTTTATTCATCAAGAGTCTACAGCACATGGGGGGCCCAGCAGTCATGCTACCTGTATGGTTTGGAACTGTCCGACCAAATTTGACCGGAGGATGGACGCTTCTTTCCGGGGGGGGGCGTGACAACACACACCGATCCGTGGTCTTCACTTTGAAGGATCCTCTCTCTTTGGTGGAGCACGAACGGAGCCTCTTCTCGTCCAGCGCCCTCTCTCTACCCCCTCTCTTCGGATCCAAATGACGGCTCCGACATGTCCATGACGGCTCCGACCGCAACTCCCGCGCCGTGGCGGTAGCAAATGGCCTAAAGTCACTAGGTCTAGTGATTCCTGCGAGAGGTCGCAGGTACCCTTGTGAGCGAAGAGGTCCGCAAACCGCAGAGCCTGTGCGCGGCTGGGCTCATCTTCCAGCTCTTTCTGCGACTGGGCCTAGCGGCTCCAACCGCTGCGGTCGAGGAGGCTGGTTTGTCTAGCCTGGTCATACGGAATCAACCCTTTGGAGGACAAGTATGATCGGACCCTGAAAATGGACCCTGTTCCCATCTACACGCACTGGAATCGACTCCCCAAGGAGCACACCCAAACTTACTTCGAAACCATGAGCTGCATGACAAGTCCGGTTTCAAGCCATGTCCGAAACGGACCTCCGTTTGATGCGGGGGTGTCGTTGAGACGAGCTTTTCACACTTGGCGCATTTATACTCTGAACATTGTGCATTTCTAGTCTGTATACTTTTCCCACCAAACCTGGGGAGAGACCTTCCACCTGTCTTTACAGTTCACATGAAACCCCCAAAGCCAGTGGCTGAGAGGGGAAAGGCATCTCCAAAATTTAGATTCCAGGTGACAGGTGATCCAGGTTCTCTCTTATAAAGCTGCTTGTATCACTGTCTGACCTGGGTTCTCCCTACGAACCGTCTTTCTCCAACGGTCTCCTTCCAGCGCCCTCTCTCCCCCGTCCACCTGGGAGGCGAGAGCTTCTGCCTCGCAGCGTCTAACCGGCACAGGTCCCACGGGTCTCACCCGCGGTGGCGTCAGAAAGAAGCCCCTCAGGGTCGTGGGAGAACCGAACCTCACGACCCGTGAGTGATGGGCCGTTCTCCCTCGGTGATGCGGTACCCCCGAAACGAACCCATGGACCCGCAGCGTCGCCATCCGAGCGCCGAACACCGAAGCCCACCAGCCGAGGCTGGCCTCGACTTGGAGAGCGTGGTCCTTCACCTGAAAGAAAGACGTGGGCGTGTTTTCTCAGCGGAGTCACCGGAAGAAAAACTCTTCCGAGAACGCGACGATTGACACCGTTTGACACCCCTTGAAAGGGATGGCTCCAAAGTTCTTGGACCACTCAAAAAAAGAGGCGGGAAAAAATGGAACGCACACACTCTGTTTTGATAGGAAGTTTGTCAATATTTTAGGTGCTTGGCTGCGCTGTCCAAAATCGAGGTCACTCACTGTTCTTGGAGGAGGATTCAACAAGATGATCATCTGAACTTTACAGGGTTCGGGCTATTTGACACCCCTCAAATGGCGGTCCTGGTGGAGTCCTAGGACTTTGGGACAGAAACAAACCAAAACCTGTTTCTCCTCCTCATCAGCACAACTTGAGCGCCTCCTCCTCATCTGTGCCATTTGGTGCGGCCTCGTGCGGGCTGGAGAACACCACCGTGGACTCCTGCAAGTCCGACAGGGACTCTGAGCATGTTCCTGCTGGGCTAGCGGCCCCCCATGGAGTTGGAGGCTGCGGATTTGTGTCAGCACCTACCAGCCTTTAAAGACCAGTGGTTGGAATGCAAAAAAGGGTGACCCGTTGAAGGCTCCTATAGTCGGTTTGCCCTTTTTTGTTCTTTTCTGTTCATCAGGCAGCACAAGGAACATACGATTTTAGGAGTGATCCCCAGCGAAGCTCCTCCAGATCTTCTGCAGCACCGGCAGGGCTTCTTACCTCTTCCAGCTGTTGCCTCAGCAAGGAACGCTCCGGTCCCAATTCCGATTCCCAATCCCAAGAACACATGATTCAAATGCCTGAGCTGGAGAAGTCTCGCAATTGCTGAAGGGGGAGGTCCAAGAAGGCCGCCAAGTATTCCATGTCTTCTTCTTCTTCTTCTTCTTCTTCTTCTTCTTCTTCTTCTTCTTCTTCTTCTTCTTGCGTGCCATAGGTACAGGGGGTGAGAAAATACTACTTCACTAACCTTTGTTATACTCTCTCTCTCTCAAATGTCTTTGGATGAGAAGTTGGACACGAGATGGGCCATCCAGCGTTCTTTGTCAGCATCACATATAACTCTTGGGCCACAGCCCATGTGGACCATAAAGATGTACACCGTTGATGACAGGAATCCACCGAAAACTCCAACGACACCGCTCGCTCAACAGAAAGAATCCCACCCAGCCCGACCGACCCGGAAAAAATGAACATGGAACCTAACAGTGAACCTTTTGGAACACGATTTTCCTCCACAACCCAGCGGTTTTCAGGTTCCATGTTAATCTTCCGGGGCGTATAGTTGTATACCTAGCGCGTAAAGCCCAGACGTGACCCCGGTCTCAATCGGAAAAGTTGGCCTATCTCTCTCTCTCTCTCTCTCCATCCCGGCTCGCATGCACTCTACCCCAGCTCGAGCCGCAGGAGCACCGGCGTCGGCGCGTCCATCCGCGGAGACGGCACGGCCCTCCAGGCAGGCCTCGGGGCTCCGCAGGGCGCAGGGCACGGGAGGCGAGTGGACGCGGTGGTCACTGATGGTAGTCCACCTCTTCCCGTGACAGCAGGGATACAATTTCCAATGCTCCACCAAACCTCAGGAGGTATGTTGAATTGTTCGTCATCAACTCGCAAAAAATATTCTAGGAAAATGAACATATCTGGAAACCAAGAGGTGGCAATGCTGCTTTTGGGACAAGTATTCATTTGTGCTTGTCTCTCACAAAGGCTAAAAAGGCAAGCAATGAGTCCAGTCTGTCATTGCTACACCCTCATGTAAGAACACACCCCCGTATCCAGAGCTAGGGACATGAATCCGTTCTGTGGTTCACCCTTCGGCCCTTCTGCTGTCCATCTCTCTGTCCTCCGTCGGCACCCTTGCAGAGATTTTTCACCTCCAACCGGTCTCAACAGAGTTCTGAGTAATGAAAGAGCCCACGAAGAGGAATGAGTCCTACAAGTCCGGCACCTGAGACTTCTGCACGCTGAGTCATTTTCTGCCAATACCTTCCGTGACTTCACGAATCGACCTCCACCCCACCTGGCATCACGTAGTCACTACTGCACCCGTCCGGAACCAGCATGCTTGGATGTAAAATAAGTCTGACTGGACTCTCCGGAGGAAAACGGGGGAAATCTCCAGGGTCGATCAGGTCCTGAAGATCGGGTTCGTGAAGATGTTGAAGAGTGATGAGGAGCAGTTTCATATAAAAAGGACTCCCGCAAATAGAAAAGGACACCAAAAAAGAACAATAATATAGTTATTGTCAAGTCCTCGGTCTGTTCCCTCGGTAAGCCGAGTCAACGCGAACGAAGTGACTGCTCGCTTCAGCAGGCTATCTTTTTCCGAGTCTTGAGCCAAACATTGTTGGCATGTCATCTTCAGTACATGAAGGCAATGCTGCTCTAGCATACCAGTTACCGACTTTGCAAGTCTTTACATGGTGATTTCAAGCAGGACAAGCACAAGTCTCACACAATGCCAAGTCTTCAGTCACATTCAGGTCAGGTACTACCGGAGGTAGGTCCCCCCTCTGTTCCTGAGGCGCGGCGACAACTCAGGACCAGTCATTCAACTTCCAGTCGTCTCGGTTCTCCCGCCTTTCAAACCATGAAGACTATCATCTGTTTTGTAAGAAAGTATTCGTTGAGGCTTCTTCCTGTTGGTGGAGGGTTCACTGCGTGGTGTGTCTTGCTTGCTGGGTTGTCAGGCTCAAGGGTCATCTGCTTGTCTAGGCTGATGCCTTGTCCTTCGTTGCCTGTGTGCGCAGCTAGCTAGAGACCTGTTGCAGATGTGTTCACGACAACATAACCGGAGAGACATACGCCCAGGGTCTAACTCCGAAAACGTGGGTATCCATTCGACCAAACCCAAGATGTAGGCCGGAGCTCTCTCTTGGGAGTCTTGCGTGTTTTGTAGCAGCCAAGCTTCAATTCTGACTGGAGGTATGCTTTGACGGCATGAAGCCTCTGTCTGGTACAATGCTAGCTTTCCATCCGCAGTCTTGGCGGAATCTCCCCTATAAAACACGCGGCCCTTGAGGGCACGCAGGGCCGGACTCAGTTCGACATGCTTTTCAGAACAAATGGCGAGCAGGTCTGCGATATGTATCGTCTCACCTGATCTCATGGCCTGGTCCTTTACGTTGGCCTCCTCGTCAACCGAATCGAAGTCCCATGTCCCCATGGAGCCAACGCTGTCGAATTCCTTCCAGATGGCCTGTAGCGCGAGCTGTCTCGTGACCATGGCATATACCCCGGCTGCTGCATCATCAGGCGCGGCATAGCCTTCTGGAAGTGCATCGGGAGAGTATTCCGGTCCTTCAGTCGGCTCC